GGATGGTCACTAGGTAATGCTCAGCAGTGAGAGAAAACAATTTAGTCACTGTGTTCCCTGGATGTATGAGCACTGGACAATCACAGGTCTACGTCCATAATATTCAGCCCTTCTACTAAAGCCTGACACCCAAGAAAATTCAAAAAATTAGGAACTGAGATGTTTGTTGAACTTCATAACAAAATTAAAAAAAAAAAATTCCACTGTTTTGGCTGCTTTTTTTCCACTCACCAACACTGAACTCCAGCACAGGCTCGTCTGGATCCTGACTGTTGCCTGAAGACAGAGAAAATAAAAATGAGTCGGACAAAGCTGTGTTAACAAAAACACACCCTGCTCATTTACCATCAATGAACTGAAGCAGGTTACCATGGCAGCAGTTACTAAGTTACCTGCCAGTGCCAGCCCCATCATCTCAGCTGAGAGATCAAACGTGTTGGCCCGGTACACTGACCACGGCCGATGGCGGGGGCTGCGCTCTTTTCCGGCCATGGTGGCGTCGCGTCAGGGGTCGGGGAGAGAACAGGTTTTAGTTCACAGAGACTGGAGTGCAGGACAGCGTCGGCTGTATCTTTGGCTTCCCTCTGGTTTGGATGAAACGGTCACTTATCTATTGAAGAAAAACATGAGGAAAAAGACTAAACTTTATTCTTACAAAATTAGAAACATGCCCATAATATACAGCCTCAGGGCAGCACACATCCTCAGCATCATATTACCACCTCTTTCTTACAAGGTTAAAGTCATAAATGGCTGCTTGAATGCAGTGTAATCTGGTGTGTAGCTGCTGCTGCTGCTGTTGCTGTTACACTTATTCCTCTGCCCTATGTTAAGCTGCAAATGTACGCAGTGAGAAGTTTCTTTGAGCAATGTGTGACTTTTCACACGCTGAGCAGCAGCTGCAGCAGGAGCAGAAGAACATTTCTGCACATCTCCTGACACTGAGCTCACCAGCTGTGTTTTTCTTCTTTTCAGACAAAAGATAACAGGCGCGTGCAGAGACACAAAGATGGAGTCCGAACGACGTAGCCCCCTGGTGTCAGGTTACAGCTGATGTTCTTGTGAGTGTCGGGCTCAGTTTTAGAAGTGCATTATTTGTCACTTGTGTTTAAAAAAAGAGAGACGATTACAGGTTGTTAGTGGCTCATTGTTCTTGGCGGTGTGATGTCGAGGGTTCAATTCCTGGAGAGGAATTGTTGTAATTTGTTGCGACCATCCAGCTAACCGATCCTCTGCCGTGTTCAGTGTCTCATTGGCCTCATTTGTACTTGGTTTGAATCGGTCAACAATGTCAGCAGTTTGGAGGTGTTTTAACATCAGGGACAAAGACAGGAGCAAAGCTCACAAATCAATAGAGCATAAAGTGAATATGTCCATGTCTCTTCTCAGTAAACAGATGAGGACTTCACTCCCCTTGACTCAAACAGATTTACTGACAACTAGCCATGGTGTCCCTGGTCAGTGCAGACTGGCACAGGAATTGTGGGTAAAATCTGGCAAAAAATAACCCTGTGATCCCAGTTCTTGGTCTGCTGTGTGCTCTAAAGCTTTTTAAAATCGTCAAAGACTGTGAAAGTTGTGTTGAGTTTCAGCAGCGTTAGAAAAAAAGAAGAATGGTTGTCTGTCCTGTCAGACTGACTTAAACCTCTTCCATGGTGTGTGTGTGTACAGTGTGTGTTGGAGCCATCAAGCGGAATAAATGCGACTTCCTGCTCAGCCATGAAAGCACAGAGCTGGTGGATGAAGATAATGTGTGTGTGTGTGTATGTGTGCAGCTGTTTGTGTGATACTGTGACAATGACGATACACAAATACATCTCAGCGTGTGCTGCTGAGGTGCATTCAAGTGTGAGGAGTTCTGCCACGCCGGTCTATTTTTACACGTGAGTCTTGTTTTGTCATCCAGACCACCATCTCCCCATTAACACACACAAACACACTGGTACGTAGAGCGAGAGTGTGATAATCTTTGGCACTTTAATCTCTCTTTCTGCCAGCTCGTCATGTGAGACCGGAGCAGATGATAATTACAGCGCTCATGCTCTGCCTCATTAGGCCGCGAGGCCCAGCCTGTCAGTGAGAACTCGTCTTCTAAAGTGCTGTGATCTCCGCTGCCTGGGGCCACTGTGGGAAACTCTCTGGGAAGCCCACAGTGGACTCACTGCTGCACCACATGAGCCACTGATCATCATCAGAGGATCAGTCGGCTGTGACACACAGGCAGCCAGTCTGACCGACGACGAAAAATGTTTTTTCCATAACAAATCAATCACTATTTAGAATGAGTGACTTTAGATTTGAATAACTGTTTCGAGGACAGTGGGGACGTCCAAAAAGCAGGAGGCTGAATGATAATGGAGTTTAATTTCACAAAGACTCATAAGGTTCATTATTTTGTTCATTATTTTCACACTGACAGCCGCTAGAGGGCACTGGTGGACTTATTCTCCGGAGCAACTTATAGTCCGTAAAACACGGTAATAATGCTGTGGTGTGTATTTCTGCTAAACAAGCATTATGCGTGCCAATAAATTTCCAAATGGGAACTCCCGAGGGATTAATAAAGTGCTATCTATCTATCCATTATCCATCATCATCCATCATCATCCATCATCATCCATCTATCTAATGTACAGTTGAATAAACACTCATATTGTATAAACCAATCATTTAGCCAGTTAACCTGGATTTTGTTTTCAGAATCAACGCTCCTCAAATCAGAGCAGTCACTGTAACAATGTTCTGATTATTTAACGCAACAATAAGCTACAGCATTTGAAAGCAGTTCAGTTTTTTTTTTTTAATCAAGTCGTCTTTTCTTTTGGAGAACTCAGAGATGTGGGCCTCTTTCAGATGACTATTGGCCCCTGACAGCAAACACCCACACTGACGACGGGCCAATGAGCAAGAGGCTGAGTCTGAAAACAGCAGCTGCTGTCCATGGTGACATTTGACTGTGTGTGCGGGAGTGTGTGTATGTTTTGTATTGGTGGGAAAGCATTGTTAGCTAATAATGAGCCATCCAATTGGATGGATGACAATTTTGTTTTTGGGAGACAATTTTTAGTTAACATTTAAATGTTTAGTTATTTGTGAGGTGACATTTTGTTAGCTTGTTTTAGCTATCTTCAGTTCAATTTCAGCCAAGTTTTTGCTAAAGTTTAGTTTTTTCTGAGATAATAATTTGGTCATTTATGGCTAAATATTTCTGTCCTAACATTTATTTAATGTTGTGTTTTCTATGCGACTACCTAGCTTTAAGAACCTCTGGATAAGTTACTCTATGGATTTGCAAAGATTAGCAATAAGTTTCGTTGGACTTTTTAGGCAGAATTCCAATCATAAATATTAAACTGTTTTGCCTAAAGCTTGTACTGAATTCTGGTAGAGACATGAAGGACCCAGTTTATGCAGTGAACACAGCTGTTCCCCCTGCAGATACTGTCATCCCCGGCTGTACTGCAGTGCCTCTCTCTGTGTCAAACATCCTCTTCTTAACCTCCTTTAAACACCTCATTCTGCCCAGTCATCATCCCTGTCTCTCATTGCTCCAGACGTCTCCCCCCCCCCCCCCCCCCTGTAACCCCGCTGCTCTTCTCAGTGTCCGTGTATTGATGAAGTCTCAGTGCAGAGCTGAGCCGTGCCAAACTGCACTCCCCTGAGTAAGACGCACGGCCATTTATTTGATGAGGAATTGGCGTAGTAACCAAGCATCCTCTAAATAGATGCAGCAGCAGCAGGAGGCTAATTCATCAATCACCGTTTGATCACTTGATCCAAATGATCAAAGCAGAACCCTCAGTTTACTGCTGAGTGAAGTACGTGTAAGCACACATCAGAAGGAAGTGACATCATGTGCAAAAACACTGAGAGAAGAGGCCAAAGTAGAGAGGCAGAGGAGGAGGAGAGTGACAAAGATGGCTATATATTACTCATAGACCCAGTTAGGAAATGGACACAGACAAACCGTGGCCTGGAAAGGAGATCAAAATTAGCAGTAAACCAGTGGAAGGCTACTATTATTATTATGTTTTGATTGATAGAAAATAGGTTACTTATCATGTAAGTACTACCATCAGTAAATATTTTTTCTGGAGATTTTTCGTGGCCTCAAACTTTAGTGTCAGATCTTTAACAGTAATACATTTGGACAATGTTGTCATTTTTGATCCTGTTGAGAGGAAACCAAATTAGTCTTTGAATTAGAATTGTCTCCATAATGTTGTATTGGTAGGTGATGGGGCACATGGGACAAAAATGTCAGTTTAAGAACAGGTTAAAATGTGGCCTAGAGCGAGTTTCACAAACTTTTGTCCTGTGGACCCGTATTTTAAAAGTCACAAACCTTCAATAGACATTATTCGTAAACTCCTGAGAAACATGATGCGACACGACCCAAAAAAAAAACTCTTGCGACCCACCTGAGGGTCCCGACCCAGTCTTTGGGAAACAACGCTTAAGAGTGTTATTGTCTGCTCTCTGAGCCCAAAACAATCATATATTTTGTTAGCATAGCAAGCAAGAAACCCAGTCAACAAATATGACAGAAGAGCATGTAAATAAACTAAAAAAAAAGAAGTAATTTCTCTCTTAAGTGTTGGTTGATTATTAAACCTTGCATCAGTCATGCAAGTGTGAAGCACTTAAATGAACAACAGACAACTCCATTCCTACCAGGACTCTGTGGATGTGTATTTCCTGAGAAGACTGCATTTCTTTGAAGGTCGAGAATTTCAGGTCAACTCATGCAAACTGTATTTTTATTTTGAAACAAACCTGTGCTAAAGTATTGTCATGACATCTCAGTGTCTCGAGAATAACAACTAGTCTCAAACGATTGGATTAATAACACAGTACAAATCTAAAACAAATCTAAGCCATAATGGTCTTTAGAGCATCTGAGAAGACGTCACTCTGTATATTTATTTAAATAATACAGAGTGAATATGTTATGTATCTGTTATACATTAGCCTTGTATGAAGCTGGGAGCTGGTCTGTTCAGTCTGTATATGGCTGTAAGTGTAAGAAAGATGACGTGGGATGAAGGCAGAGCACCGGTGTCCTATGGAGATCTATTTCTATCAGTCGTTAAATCATCAACAGCTGAGAGTGGACCGGGATACTGTGGACAATAACAAAAATATTGCGTCATGATATGTGATGATGCTCATTCACTGGCGGCTGATGGTGATGATGCTGCAGCAGGGTGGACACACTGTTCGGAAATGTACCGTAACAAAGATGGTCACAAAAAAAAAAAAAAATCACAACATCCAAACAAACATCAGGAAAAAGCTGGATTTCCAAATAAACACGCCTTATTCTGGTGCTACTGCTGCTCCTTAGCGACATCCTTTACTCAGTGATCTAACGGTCTCGACACTCCCGAGTGGTAATGATTATAATGAGGAAATAAGGAAATACAAATGTGATGTTTCATACCTTTAGGGGACAAAACGATGGTTTCTTCTCATACTGATGCGCATCCTGTTTCCACCCTCGTCGACGTCTGCGGCTCAGACTCGCCCTGACTCCCTGTGATGACACAGACCAACGTAATAATAAAACCTCCTCCTCCTGCTGTTTGTTATTTTGTCCAATAGAGGGCAGTGTTTGTCTTGTTTTGCACGGATAAATTGTACCACATATAAATAGTTGGATAGAATTATTTATGTCCAAGCCTTCTTTTGTTACACTTGAAATAGTTTAGAAATTAAATAGTAAAATAACCAAATGTAGCCATAAAATAGTTACTAAATGTTAAAACACATTTTATTCTATATTAATCTCATTATATCTGGTGAAAACATGCGTCATTTTATTTTGTTTAATCATCGAAGCAGCTTAAATAAAATAAATCATCATAATAATGGCAAAATAATCTCTCTTTTTTTTCTATCGAAATCGTGAATGAAAACTGTCAGTATTAGTGAAGCTCTAATCTGAAACTGAGACCTGGTGTCACCGAAACTACAACAGTAGTAATGGTTCTGTCCTGAGTTTCCAGTGGACGTTGTTGTGTGAGAGTGCCTTCAGTTGAACCACCTCAGGTAACAGCCAATCAGCACAAGTATCAGGCCACGCCCACTTGAGCATAGGAACTAGTAAAGTGCAGGTAAAAACTCAGGTGTGTCGTTGAGACAGTGTGAAGGAGCAGCAGTGTGGAGAAGGTCTTTGAGCGTGGATGTAGAAGATGCCGCTAGATCTCACTGATCAAGCTTTGGTGGAGAATTAATTTTCATTAATAATATTTATTTAATTAGATGGACTGAGCAAATTTCAACGGCCTGGAGTTCTTCATTGACTTTCTCTGTAGGGACTGTGGCAAAATGGATGCAAACACCTTCACGCGTAGGGCAGGACTTTTATTAGTCATTTTCACATTTCTTTGCTTCATTCATGGATCTAGAGGAGAAATTCCTCCACAACCAGCCGGCGGTGTCACCATAGTTCCCCCGGCTAAACCTGATGGAGCTCCTCAGGCATATCCAGACGCCGACACGTCCAATTTACCCGTGTTTACTATGGATTATCCCAGGATACAAATCCCGTTTGAGATCACTCTCTGGGTGCTGCTGGCTTCGTTCGCCAAGATTGGTGAGTCCGTGGACACGTATTCAGAAATTAAAGCATATAAAAGAGCACTTCAGCTAACGCGGTCGAATTTGATTTCAGTAATGTATTTTAAAATGAAAAATGACACTTTTAACTAAACGAACCCTAATTGTATTTCATTGAAAACATTTTGAACTATTTTAATTACTTTTTGAAGGTCATTCATTGAGTACAATTTTTTTCTAGCATGTTCCATGTATTCAGGAAGTTTAGATTTAATTTCACATCAGAGTTTAACAAAAATAGTTTAGAGTGGCACTAAAATAAAGAAATAAAAATAACCTAAGGTTGTTAATGAAATAGCAAAGACGAGCTGTTTTTGAAACTCACTGAACATTATGAATACTTTTTTTCAAAATAGCTTAGAGCTTCAGCTAGCACAAGATTAGCCAAAGGTACAAAAGTAAATGTAGCCAAAAAACGTAGCAAAGATGGCAGTTAAAAGTTAGCCCTGGTGTTTTTTATACTTAAATCTAATTAATAAAATTACCCTGGACATTTAGGGGGAAATGCACTTTACAGTCTGGTTTCCCTGCCATCTTTGCTAACCATTATCTTCGTATCTGGAAATCATCATGGATTTAGTTTTCTTTTTCAGATCTTGGTTTCATAGTAGATGTATTCTTCTTCATCATCTTCATTGTCATTGCCTTCTCTCAGGTTTCCATGTTTATCACAAGATCACCATCTGGGTTCCTGAGTCATGTCTTCTGATCAGCATTGGTCTGATTGTTGGTGCCATCATGCACTCTGTCAAAGAGGAGCCCCCTGCTGCTCTCTCCAGCAACGTCTTCTTTCTGTACATGTTGCCCCCCATCGTCCTGGACTCCGGCTACTTCATGCCCACCAGGCCGTTTTTTGAGAACATCGGCACAGTGAGTAATGAGCATAACATTGAAGCAACTTTCCTCTAGCTCTAAACCATTTCTGCGTGAACTGTCTGTTTTTCTTTATTCTAATTGTCATTTTATTGAGTCCTTGTTTCAGTTTGGTTTTTTGCTAATAATTATTAACTGTTTTTCCTAATTAAGATATGATGTGGTTATTTAAATTTAATATATTTCTAGATTTAACCTAGGTGTTTTTATGCTACTTGTATAGCTAATCTGTCTGACCTTTGCCCTTTCTACCCTTACTTTTGTTGTCTTTCGGCTAATTCTGGGTAAGTTAGCTAACCTTTCTGACCTTTTTCACAAAAAAAATTTAAATAATTTTTCATAGTCAAACCATTAGTTTAGTTTAAATCATAACAATCTATCTTAGCTATTTTGGCTAACTTTTAGCTGACTTTGGCTTCCATTACCAATTTGCTGTTTATGTCTCCAAATTGTGTGCAGTTCTATCAAACTCTTATTATAGCCAAACTACAGACAGTATGTCTGACGTTCTGTGTGTTTGTGTGTGTGTGTGCAGGTGCTGTGGTTAGCAGTGGTGGGCACTTTATGGAACAGCATCGGAATCGGAATGTCCCTCTTTGCCATATGTCAGATCGAGGCATTTGAAGTCCAAGATGTGAACCTGCAGGAGAACCTGCTGTTCGCCTCCATCATCTCGGCCGTGGACCCCGTGGCCGTGCTGACCGTCTTTGAGGACGTGTCCGTGAACGAACAGCTCTATATTGTGGTTTTTGGAGAATGTCTCTTCAACGACGCTGTCACTGTGGTGAGTTGGCTCAGACTGATGCTGCTGCTGTGGTAGGAATGATCGTTGTCACTCTTCTGTAACAGTCAAGCTGCGACTTGTTACGATATGCTGTCAAACTGCCGGTTATGAGAAGGTACAGAACAAGAAGCACATTTGTCGTTTCTTTAATATAAAACCATCCGACTAGAGTTATTCTGTAAGAATAGCATTTTCTGAATATACATTAAATATGTTTATTTAATGCCATTTAATTTTTAGCGTCAGTTTATCATATGTCGATACTGGCTTATCTTTAGCTAAATTTGTTGTTTACTCAAGTACTGTGTTTGTTAGCTCCTTCTGTGCTAATGCTAATGATTGCTTAGCTATTTATGGGCCTTATTATGGATGATATTTTGCAAAGTTTGATATAAATCTGTCCAACTTTCAAAGATCTTTTTTCCACTGTTCAGTTTGAAAATGATATCATAGAATACTTCTAATGATGATGCCCTAACAATCAAACAACATGGCAGAAGTGCACTCAGGTTTTGTAAAATTTACCTACATTTGCATTTCACCAGGACTTTTTTCATTTTGTTTTTGAGCCTTAGCTTCCTAGGCTTGGTCAAACCACTCAAAGAACACAATCAGATAATTAGAGTTGACTATGGAGACCAGTGTAAACCTAGAGCTTTACTCTACCAACCTGTTTTCTGCCTTGAATTTCCACATGAAACAGCAGATTTGCTATTGTGCTATCTGAACCTTTTCTGTCCCAAGAAACTGAAGTCACAGCTTAGGTTTCAGGAGGACGTTCTGTTACAAAAACAAATGGTGCAAAATCCAGGAAAATTATTCAGATGAACAGAAAGTGAGGAAAGGTTTTGACAGACAGCAGCAGTGACCAGAACCCAGGGCTAAGAATCGTTGATGGGGCTGATTCTGTGGATGCTGTCAGACCTGTTTCTTCGGTATCATTTGGTTAAATGGGAGGGGTTTAAAACAGACACACAAATTAGACCGAGGTGAGCTCATGCTCAAATTTCTCCCTCCTCTTTCCCCCCTTTATGATCATGTTTGTGGGGGAAAAAAACAACGCCCAGAGAAGCCACACTAACCTGCTCTGATCTTTGGTGTTGGGACTCCTTTGTTTAGTACACAGTGGTTCAGGAGCTGATGCAGGAGAAGACAAACATTTACCCAGGAGACTGGGAGAGTCCATCACACACACGCACACACACACACAGACCCAAACAGTACAAACACTTTTGTATTTATCCAGAGACATGAATGAGGTGAAAGGTAGACACAGATGTAAACAATATATTAAAAAGTGCCATCACATACTGTAGCTTCACATGAGTCACATGACACATGTCAATACAGCAGACACACCAGATTAAACAGTGCTGTCTTAGCTAACTTTTAGTGAAAAATATTTTACTGTTATTTCTTGCTGTTGTTTTAGGTGTTGTACAACATGTTTAGCTTCGTGGCGGACATGCCAGTTGTGGAGCCGGAGGATGTTTTTCTGGGTGTGGCCAGATTTTTCGTGGTGGGACTCGGGGGCATGATGTTCGGCATCTTGTTTGGCTTCGCAGCTTCATTCACCACGAGGTTTACCTCCAAGGTCCGGGAAATTGAGCCTCTCTTCATCTTCATGTACAGCTATTTGGCCTATTTAGTGGCTGAGCTTTTTGCCATCTCATCCATCATGGCGTGAGTAGACTTTCTTTGAAAATATTTCATGATCTAGAATATTTCAGCCAGAAGTATGTGCTTGGTTTTTCTCCTGCAGCATCGTCAGCTGTGCACTCACCATGAAGTACTACGTGGAGGAAAATGTTTCCCAGCGTTCCTGCACTACCATTCGCCATGTGGTGAAGATGCTGGGCACCATCTCTGAGACACTCATCTTCTTCTTCCTCGGAGTGGTCACTATTACAACAGAACATGAGTGGAACTGGGGCTACATCCTGTTCACGCTGCTGTTTGCCTTCGTATGGAGAGGCCTAGGTAAGCAGAGGGCAGAGGTGTTACTCGATCTAATTATATTTGGATTAGATGACCTGGATGACTGAAACCTACACAGGCATATATTTTACATGATTGTTAATGCAGTTTTGCTAGTTTGCATCATCATCATTCATTAGCATCTTCCATTCAGGTCAGCATCTCTTGATGTTTTTCCAAAAGAACCAGATTAAAACCAACTTTTCTGAAGATTTCTGTTTTCCAGCTGGTACCACTTGGTTCATTCCAGCATTGTTCCTCCCTTGCAGGCATCCTGGTTTTGACACAGATCATTAACCCTTTCCGCACCATACCATTCAACACAAAGGATCAGTTTGGCCTGGCCTACGGTGGCCTGAGAGGTGCCATCTCATTCGCCTTGGCCTTCACTCTCCCCGACACCATTGCTCGCAAGAAGCTCTTTGTCACAGCCACCATCGTTATCATCCTATTCACTGTGTTTCTGCAGGTATGTTGTCTAAACCTCAACTGTTTGGACTGTTTTCTAGAGCATTTTTCCTCCTCTGATTTTTATTTATTTGTTTTGTCCTTCCCTCCTGTCCTCAGGGCATCACTATCCGTCCTCTGATCGAGTTCATCAACGTTCGCAAAACTAACCGTGACCTGCATTCCATTAATGTAGAGGTCCACTGCCGGGTATGACGTTGCTATAAAAATGGCTTTATTTTATGTAGTGTAAAGACAATTTTTGGGGGCAGTTCTTATGGCTTTTTAATTTGATTTTCAGCTCATGGAACACACTATAGCAGGCATCGAGGACCTGTGTGGACAGTGGAGTCACTTCTACTGGAAGGACAAGTAAGGACATTTCCTTGTTCAGAGCTCGGCCCAGGAAATAAGGAATAATCTAAAGAGCAAAACTGGAGGAGCAGTGCCAGCTTCAGTTTCTCTGCTTTATTTCCTCTCTCTGTGGTTTTGTTTGACAAAGCCATTGTTCGGTGTGTGAGAATGTTGGTGACTGGTCAGACGCTGGTGTCGTGTTCAGCTTCCACTGTCAACACAGTTTTTTCCTATTACTGCTACATGACTTAGGTTTTATATGTAGTTGAATAATATTAATGAATCATATGAATTCAATATTTAAAAAGATAATAGATTTTTTTTTTACTAACGCAAAAGACACATTTGATGTGTGTATGGTTTTTTTTTCTGTCTAATGGGCACATTTTAAATAATTTTAACAACAACAACACAGATGTTTCACGGAGGACACTGTCTTTTCTTTTCCTCTTCTTCCCCATCCCACCTTTTTTCCTCTTCTCTTCCTTTTCCCCCCGTCGGCTTTGTTGACACACTCCTCATGTAGATCCTGTGACACTGGTTCTTCAAGTTCCGAGTGTAAATTTCCAAATTCAAACACAGTGTTTATAAGAGAGTCTCACACACACACACACACACACACTCAACTGTACACAATGTTCAATGCTGCACTGATGTAGATCATAGTGTTTTGATCAGGTGATCTGCACCTTTGTTTTTATGACCTTGACTTATTAATACACTTCACACACTGTCATTTTTCACACACTCGCCTTGTCTCTTTTGACCTAAGATTTCCTTCTTCTTTACGACAGGTTTATGAAGTTCAACAATCGAATCCTGCGTAGGATTCTGATCCGTGACAGTCGTGCTGAGTCCAGCATTGTGGCCCTGTACAAGAAGCTGGAGCTGCAGAACGCCATGGAGATCCTGGACACGGTGTCAGGAGACATCAGCGCCGCACCGTCTGTCGTCTCTGTGTAGTATGTAACCTTTCTCATGGCTATACTGTATATTCCATTAATGTGTCTAATAAGAGATGGATATATTGAATTGTGCTGAGATGAATCTTTTTTTTTTTCAGTGAGGACAAGAAATCTCCTTCTCAGCCGAAGAAGAAGTTCATGGCCTCTGACCTGAGGAAGATGCACGACATCCTGTCCAAAAACATGTATAAGATCAGGCAACGGGTAAGAAATGACAAATTGAATAAGGAAAAAAAAATCTCTTTCACTATACTAATATTATTATATTGTATTATAATATATGATATTATTTATATTTTTTGGTAAGACTTTATTGAAGTGTTTTTGCATATGTATGGGTTTTACTTTATTAGGATTCTGTGAAATACACATAATAAAAACACTTAGAAGGGAAAATACAAATATGGCAAAAAATAAAAGCTTTTCAAGTTTAATAATGCTAAAAAAAATAAATAACCCAATGATACCTTCAAAAAAAATACAGCAAAACATTAAAAAGTGAGAAGGTTCAATTCCATATTTTAAAAAAGTAATTAAAAAATAGCAGAATGTAGCCATCAAACTTAAGTGAGTGGAAACAAAAGCTAAATTTAACCAAGAAATGGCTAAAAGGCTAAACAGGTAATTACTAAAGTAGCCAAAAATTGAAACCAGAAATCCCTCAAAGTAAGGAACATGTAGCAAAACACTAACAAGTAGCCGCAGGAATGGAAAGGAACCAAGCGAAGACTACAGCTATCCCAAAAAGTGCTAAATGTTGCTAAACACTGTGAAACAACCACGTTGGCTCCATGTTATTTAACAAAACGTTTCGATGAAGGATTGAAAATGATCTCGAACACTTAACCAAAATAGTGAAATATTCAAGTCAAGTCTGTTTAAAATATAAACTTTTAAAGTTTATATTTTAAACAGACTTGATTGGTGTGTGGCAGTATTTTCTGTCCATTTTCCACGTTAATCCATGGACAGTGAACACAACATAATAGATGATTGATGACACTTCCCTCATTCCACTGTGGTCCTGTCTGTGACGCCTGTCACAGTTTTGCACAGACACAGACTGTAGTTGCTTTGTCGGTGGTTTTCCATCAGTGACATCACTGGAAAAGCTTGTGTGGATAAACAGAGCATGTGCTCCTGTCCACCAAATGTCTGATCTTACATATCTTACATTTTAGTGTCGCCCACCGCACCTCTTTACACACACACACACACACACACACACCCTGCATCACTAGACAGTGGAGGTATTTGCTCTGACATCCTGCTCTTCATTTTTCATGTTTCACTGTGTGCATTAGACGTGTTTGTCACCCCACTGATTCTTTTTATTCTGGGACCACATGTGACTCTAAATGTTGACCTCCAGATTGTGTTGACAACAAGCCAGCACTGAGCAACAATGGCCACCACTTAGTGCCTGAAAAGGGCAGCTATGTTTGTTTTAGGTCCAACTCATGGCTGCGGGACTGATGTATGTTGACAGAGATCGTAACGGCTGCTCGCAACTATGTTTGTTTTAGGGGGGGAGGCACTAATTCTACAGTTTGTAACGGGCGTGGTCGGTTTTGGTCTAGAAACCTGATCTTTGAAGAATGCCGTCTCCTCTCAAGCCTTTACACAGGTTTCTTCACTAGCTTTGTTATGAAGAACAACAAAAAGCTGTGAAGCAGATGAGACTCATTTTTATTCAAATATAAACACGGCCAGTCTGTTTCCATCACATGGTGAAAGAACTTGTCTCGCCAGGAAAGACTAAATGGCTGTTATCACTGTATCACCAACCAGGTGGAATTCTAGTTGCCATTAGACTGCAAAAAAGATGAGATAAAAACTAAAACTTAAATGAGTCCAAGTCACCAGTGGAAGGATTAGGATTAAAACTAACGATTTGTTGGATGTTACCAAATGAAACGCCTACAGTAACCAAGAAGATTCTGCTGATCTGTCTTGTTCCATTATTTCGAACTTTCATGTTAAAACTCTCCAACTTATTTCCATACAAATGATTTATGTCCTAGTTGATGATGTCACCACTGTGTTAGCGTGAGTGATGTAGGTACTGATCTACTGAGTTCTGACTTTGCCATAGAAACGGACATAAGTTGAGGACCCCTGTAGATCTCTGATCCTGATCTAAAAAGCACACATTTTAAGGTCTCCATCTAATGTAAAAGTGATTTCTGTTCTTTTCTTTTTTTCTTGTCTTTGTTTAGACTGTAGCATTTACAGGTAAACATTCGCTGCCAAACGACACCCAGACCAGAGAGATTCTGATCAGACGTCATGCCAGCATCCGTCGCAGCATACGTCCTGGCAGCTTTCAGTCACCAGTGAGAAAATCGCCAAGTCTTAAAGATTGATTAAAACCTCACATGTTACTGTCCATCACTCAGCTCCTTTCTGTTGAATCTATTTTTTTCTCAGCCTGTGCCAAAGTCACACAAATACTTTTCACTTCCTGCTGGACAAGGTTTGGACTCAAAGTTTTTCCCTGCTAAGAGACAGAGCACCGCAGGTAAGCTTTAAAAGCAAATATAAAGCAGTAGTAATTGTAGTAATTAGTAAAAAAGTAAGTAGTAAAAAAAGACAAATGAATTGTCTTACATGTCTGATGATGAAGTGTCGATGATGATTGATGAAATGATGATGATTATTATTGTTGTAATGTATTATGAATAGGATCAGAATGAATAATGATTTAACATAATATACCTATATAATATATACCTATATGTATTGTAATTACTATTTTTGGTCTTCTTAATTTTTACATCTGCCCGTGACTTTTTACCTACAGATGATCATGAGACCATGTCAGAGGTGGCCTACCCATCCAGACACTCTCGATTTACAAAGCCAGGACGTTCCTCCGCCAGAGCCATGGTGCCTCTACACAGGCTGGACACTCTCAAAGAAGCTCCTTCTGTGGATGTACTGAATGAAAGCAGAGGCGAGAGCAGCTCAGCCGGGCGTGGA